GAGGTGATTATTATTTCTCTTGTCTGTTTAAGTATTTTTTTTTTAAACATTATCACCGTGATGATTGATTATTCTGTGGAGAGCTCCTGAGAAGCTCTCCACAGAATAATGAGAAGAGAGCACAGGGCCTGAAATGATGAAGAAAATTCCTCTGGAGGCACTTCCACCCCGAGGTGGTGAGGCAGCATGTTAGGTTGTGGTTAGAAATCTTTCAGAGCCTCATCTCACTTGCTAGCCCTGGAGTCTCGTGAGTTCCTTCAGGCCTACCTTCTTGGCTGCAGGATAGGGATGAACATCATCAGATTTGTGTCTGATGGGGGTGACTAAATCATTGRCCACACAAAATACAGTCAGAGCTATCATGATTGAGATATGAGGTGTCCCCCCAAAGCTCCTATGTTACAGCAGGAATGCTCAGAGGTGAAATAATTGGATCGTGAGGGTGGAACTTAATTCAAGGGGGCTGGGGTTGTGGCTCAGTGGTAGAGTGGGATGAAGGGTGACTGTGGGCAGGTAGGGTATGGCTGGAGGAGGTAGGTCATTGGGGTCATGCTCTGGATGGGTTCATCTTCTTTGTGGCCCCTTCTCCTGTATCTCTTTGTTTCCTGGCTGCTATGTCCTGAGCAGCTTCCTTTTGCCACATCCTTTGGCCATAATGTGCAGCCTCACCTTGGGCCCAGAGAATGGACTCAACTAACCACAGACTAAAAGCTCTGAACCATGAGCCAAAATAAACTTTCCCTTCTTTAAGTTGTTCTTGTTAGATATTTGGTTACAGAGATGAAAAACTGACTAAAATAAGAGGCATGCCTGGCATACAAGTAAACATAATAAATACAAGCCACTGTAATTTCAACTTAAACCAAAAGGAAGGTACGTGCAAGTATGTTTGCCTGTTGCCATAGTCTGAATGTGTACCTCAAAGTTCATGGACTGGAAGCTTAATTCACAATGCAACAGCTTTGCGGGGTGGAGCCTAATAAGAGGTGATTAGAGGGCTGGGGATGTGGCTCAAGCCATAGCGCGCTCGCCTGGCATGCGTGCGGCCCAGGTTCGATCCTCAGCACCACATACAAACAAAGATGTTGTGTCCGCTGATAATTACAAAGTAAATATTTTAAAAAAAGAGGTGATTAGATCCCCTCATGAATGGATTAATGTCATTATCATGGGAGGGGGTGAGTTATCCTGAGGCAGTTGTTTTAAAAGTGTTTGGCCTCCTCTTGTCCTCTCATAACATTTTCTTGTCCTTCTTTCTACCATGAGATGATGTGACATAAAGACCCTCACCAGATACCAGTGCCAGACTCTTGGACTTGCAAAGTTACAGAACCTTGATCCAAATAATCTCAGGTGTTCTGTTACAGCAGCATGCCCCCTGGTTTTCAAAGTGGATCCAGTTGCTTCAAATATTCCTCAGACTTGTGGTCTCCAAACAAGTTTCATAAATACAGCTCTGCCAGAAACTGCTCATCCTCATAAAGTTMCAACCTCAGTCTGCGACTGACACTGCTATAATTGTGAATGCCTCTGAAAGTTCCTTTTTTGGATTGCTTCATTAAAGTCAGYCCAGATTTGACCCCAAAATGGTATTAGCCCAGTTTAAACATCACCTTTGCCTTCCAATGACTCTGAAATGGTTCTGAAAATTAAATTCATCCGAAAAAATGATTGCACCTTGGAGTATGCTCTAAGCAAGTGCTTAGAGCACTTAAAGCAATGTAAAAACTAAAACCATAGTAAGTCTACTTGATTAACTTTTTTTTCTTTTGTGGTATTGGGAGGGTGGAATCCCAAGGCAAGTGCTCTAACCCGGAGCCATATCCCAGGCCCTGGTCAAATTTTTGTTGTTATTTTGTACTGGGGATTGAACCTAGGAGCACTCTACCATTCAGCCACATTCCCAGTCCCCCCCACCCCCGCTTTTAAAAATTTTATTTTGAGACAGGGTCTTACTAAATTGCTTAGAGTCTTGATAAGTTGCTGAGGCTGACCTTGAACTTGTAATTCTCCTGCCTCAGTCTCCTGAGATGCTGTGATTACAGGCATGTGCCATAGCAACTGGCTTGCTCTGGTTAACTTTTAAAACTATACTAGCAAGGAAGCTTTTCTACTTATGACAGAAACCCAGTAAATCATAAAATGAATTTGTAATTGATTTACAATAAAATTTGAATAAAATCAAATAAAAATAGTAATATTACACACTGAAAAAATACCACAAAGTAATGAAGTAGAAAAAAAAAACATATTCATGCATATTCATCCACATTCTATCTCAATGGGCTAATTTCCTTTAAATATATATAGACCTAAAGTCAATAAGAAAATGGCCACAATCTTAGAAAAATGGAGAGGGAACACAAACAGATGCTTCAAAAAAGAGAATCAACTGGCTCTTAGACAAACAAGTTGAATTAGTCTGGGTGTGGTGTTGCATGCCTACTATCTCAGTGTCTGAGACAGGAGGATTTGCAAGTTGAAGGTCAGCCTCTGCAACTTAGTGAGACCCTGTCTCAAAATAAAAACTAAAAAGGACTGGAGATATAGGTCAGTGGTAAAGTACTCCTGGGTTCAATCCCCAGTATTGATAAATAAATAAATAAATAAATAAATAAATAAATAAATAAATAAATATTAAAACTACCAGTCACCGTTTTGTCATGAGGGTGCCCAGAAGCCAGCACCAATTCTTGCAGATGGGATGGGATGTTTGCAGATGCAGATGGGATGGGATGTTGATGCCTAATGAAAATACTCATGACCTTGGATCTGGCAACGTCAGAATGGCTCATGTGTATGGACATGGGACCAGAAACAATTTGATGCTGTGAGGTCCTATTATTTAGACACAGGAATGCCACCGACCACTGTAAGACCAAGGCAACTTAGTAKGTGACAAATGTGCCTGAGCTGCCATTTCAAGAGGGAACAGAGCAGAAAAGGGCATGTAGGCAGCAGGTGTGTGGGATGCACCAGGCAGACCTAAGCATCCAGTGCACATGTATTCTGGGAGGGCACAACTTTCACTGTATCCCTGGTTGTTTTGTGTCATGACACATACATTACTATTTTTAGAAATCAAGAGCCTCCTTTATTATCACAAAAGACACTCGATGAAATGACTTGCATATTTTGCTGAGCCCAAAAATATTTCCATGACTTATTTGTTACTCTTCTGGGAAACTTCCAGTTGTTTACCCTTTTTCAGGAGTGAGGTCACTAACCCTCTTTAAATGGACCAAATCAATTTTTGCTTTACCTTCATGCATCTTTGATGCTTTGCCTCCAGAGTTCTTTAAATATTCAGACCATTAGATATTATGGAAGGAAAAGGCACTGGTGGAAACCCTGCCAAAGCGGGGGCTGTGCAGAGGACAGGTTTTTTCATGCCCTCCTCAGTGAAAGCTTACTGGAGCTGGCCCCGGTGTGGGGGAGCATCTTTCTTACTTTCTTTTCTGGCCTGTATCACCAGTTGGCCAGACCTCTTCCCTAAGGAATAATTTTGGAGAGTCCTAGGGGTAGAGGACAGCTGGCTCTGGTTTTGTTCATGTCCTAGGGTCTCCCTTCTGCCTCTGGAGTTGGAGTCCCACATACCACACTCTGTTGGGTGAGCTTGCTCCCACCCTTTTCCAAGTGTCCTGCAAGTGAAGGGCTGTTCAAACATTGGATAAGTTTTTCACTGGCTCCCTCTCCTGCTCTGGCCCACTGAAGTTCTGGCTCTGGGAGCTGAGGAGTGAAATTTCCCTTGTGGTCTACAGAGCCCTTTCCTTTTCTGCACAGGGCTCAGCCAAATGGCTTGTTCAGCATCTGCAGCCCTGTGTGTGTGTGTGTGTGTGTGTGTGTGTGTGTGTGTGTGTGTCTCTCTCTAATGAGTCAGACCTGTCATTCTCTCATAGGCAGATTGGGGAGCTGTGAGCACTCGGGATGTGGGGTGGGCTGCAGTTCTCTCCCTGGCATGCAACTTCTTTGGGATTGTACCAGACTCAAGACAGATTTTTGCTAAGCACAGAGTGACATGGGGACCAAGTACTTGCCAGAGGAACTGAAGTTTCCAGAACTTTCTCTGGTGTAATGGTTAATTTGGATTGTCAACTTGATTGGATTAAGAAATAATGGTGATTCAGAGGCTTCTGTGTGTGTCAAGGAATGATTGGCATGTGGAATAGCCAACTGAAGTGGAGACCCTCTCTAAGCGTGAAGAGCACTGGATGATGGCTTGGGTAGAATAAATGTTGGAAGAACAAGGGGCTGGGGTTGTGGCTCAGTGGTAGAGCACTTGCCTAGCATGTGTGAGGCACTGGGTTCGATTCTAGTACCACATATAAATAAATAAAAGTAAAGGTCCATTGGCAATTTAAAAAAATATTTTTTAAAAAGTTGGAAGAACAAGCAAGCAGCAACAGATGCAAGCTCAATTTCTTCTAGRATGGGTTCTTGATTGCTGCTATGATCATCTGAAATTATCTGACTCTTGCTTCTTCACTCTTTCAAAGCTGACTCTGCCAGTGATTCCCTTGGGAATTTGACCAGAACCTTTGGGTCTTGGACTAGGGTAGCACCATTGATCCTTCTCATTCTGGGGCTTTAGCCTCTTGGACTGTGCAGCTACTGTTTCTTTCAGCTCTCYGGCCTGCAGACGGCCATTGTTGACTATCCATCTTCTGGCTGTATAAGCCAACCTGATAAGTCCCTTTTTCTAATTATACTTCCTGTTGATTCTATTCCTCTACAGAACCATGACTAATACACCTGGTCATGCTGTGGGTCACTGTCCCCAGAAGTGGGAGGAGGAGCTTTGCTCTCAAAAAACTGCTGGGAAGGACAGAGCCCTGTGGATAGACCTGAATCAGCCCAGTCTCCAGGTGGCCATCTGCTGTTGTGGAAAGTAACAGACACTACCTATGTCACTCCACTTTGGCAGGTTTTTTAACTTTAGTTAACAGATATCTCAGCTGCTGGGTGAACGAACAGAAATCACAGGAGAAAACCTTGTAAACCTTTTATTTGGAGCGGAACACAGATTGAGTTTATTCCATGTACTGCACATTCATAGAAGAAACCCTGGTGGACACAGGCACTGGGACACAAACGATGCTCAAGTGTCAGCTATGACCCAGGCCCATTGAGGAGGGCAGGTTCACCTCAGAAGATGGATTGTAGTCCAAGACAGCACAAGGGCTGCAAGAGGATGGTTCTGGAACGGTGTCTTCTTACCCTTCCCTGTTTGTCTGCAAATGGCTCATAGCAGCAATACATTCACTGGAATACGGAGCTGGTGTTCAAAAAAAGCGGCTCAGACATAGTTTGTACACAAGCACTCAGCACTCACATGACAAAGAGGGCTCCAGCAGCACGGTCACGAATGTTCTTATAGCAGTTCACACTCAGCTCTGCTATGCCTGTGGCAGACTTGCTCAGCAGACCTGGGCACATGGGATCTCCCACCCCTCTTCTTACCCATAGCATCCCCCATCAGTTACCCTTACATTATCCGAGATCTGAGGGAGCAGACCACTGGGTGATATCATATGCTCACCCCCAAGGAAGAGAGAAACACACAAGAGACCTGCTCTCCTGGAGGTCACACTGGTTCTTTCTTGGCTCCCCCAGAGTAGCCAGGACAGCTTGTGTAACCTCTCCAAACTCTCCAGTACAGGTGGAGGCCTGTCCTTGGGGAGGAAACAACAGAGGCTGAGAGCCAGAGCAAGATTTAGGTCACAGGGACGGAGACAACAGCAGCCACAGCCACAGAGATGGAGAGAAGGACACAGGGTCTTGTGTGCCTCAATCTCAATATGGCCCTTAGCTCTGTCTGGCTCACAGCCCACCTGGATCCCAGGCAGGAAGGAAGCATTGGCAAGGCTCTGTTCTAGGTCAGGTTCCCACTCTCAGGTCACCCACAGCACAGCAGAGGCTGATGCACAGGTAGGTAGCTCTGAGGGCTGCAGGAGGAGGGGTCTCGGTCAGCATGGTGGCTCCTCAAGGATAAAATCATGTCCAGGATGGAGGGGTCCATGGAGATGGGAGCCAGGAATACTGGTTGGAGTGGAGATTGGGGTTCTGCTACTTCAAGGCTGGACTCTTCTCTCTGTTCAGGGAGTCGATGTAGTGAAAAATGGCCCCCAGAGCCCAGCTGGTCTCCACATTGTCGATTTTCCGAGTCAGCTTGAAAAGACAAAGGGAGAGGCAGAGATCATATACCTTCATATGGGAAAGGCTGAGTAGATCTGTATACTAAGGCAGCCCAGTCAGTAGCTGGAAGTTTGGGCTGTTCCTTGGATGCCAAGGATTGGATGGGGGACAAGATTTCAATAATGGGATCCCAGTACCACACAACATAATTGGGACAGGGGTGCCCAATAGGTAAGTCCCTACCTTCAGCACTTTATCCCTGGGAAAGCCAAACTCCTGGAGCAGCAAGGTAATGTAGGTGAGATCCATGCACACAAAGGGGCTGCTGTGTGGCTGAGTCTCCAGAGTCCGACACACTGAGAGGAGATGGCCAATTCCCAGTTAGGTTCAGACAATCCCCTCCTTGGGGGACAGTGTGCTGTATGGACCCCAACTCCACCCACTCTGGGTACCCACCCAGATCCATGTTCCTTATTTATAGTTAAGGCTGCAGCTTGGCATGGAAAGGTGACCATGACCAGAGCAACTCAAAGGCAGGCCATGAGGCCAGTCCTCGCCTACCCCAGCCTGCACTCTAGGACCAAGAGAGATCTGCACAACTTGTCTTGGGGTCACAGTGGAAAGTCACCAATTTCCAGGCTATATCTTTGCACCTGTGACCCTGGACATCACTCCCAGATATCCACCTGCATAAAACTTGTGCTTTCCAGGGGATGAAAATGACAGAATAACTAGCTTAAAATAATCCACTCTTGTTCTTGAGGAAGAGGGGCAAATTCACCAATATACCCAGTGTCTATGGGGACAAACCCAAAAGTGACATGAAAGCTTAAAAAAAGCCATTGAGTGGTGGGGAGAAGGTAGAACTTTTTATGGAAAAATACTAAAATGTAACTTCTTTGGGGGGCACTAGGGATTGAACTCAGGAACACTTAACCACTGAGCTACATCCCTAGGCCTATTTTGTGTTTTATTTAGAGACAGGGTTTCCCTGAATTGCTTAGGGCCTCACTAAGTGGCTGAGGCTGGCTTTGAACTTGCAATCCTCCTGCCTCAGCCTCCTGAGCCGCTGGGATTACAGATGTATGCCACCATGCCCTGCTTAAAATGTTAATTCTTGACCTGCAAATTGGGAGCAGCAACCAAAAGAGCAGAATACCAACACCAACACTTCACACACACTCATTCCCTGGCTGTTGGGGTGAGCAGGCCTTAGATGAGGTAATAGGTAGAGGGAAAGGGAACACAAGAGTGCAATCCTTCACTTCCACAACCCAGACTGTTCAGGAAACCTGACTTTTTCAGGGTCATGTGATAATCATGAACTCRCTGGGACATCTCAGGGGAAATCACTCTTGTGGTCACCCGGGTAGCAATGAAAAGGTGTCAGAAAAAATGAAATGAGGGAATCTGTTCCTTATAGTCCAATGATGAGGCTGTGGACTGTGGCCCTTTTGCAGCCAGGACAGAACATAGGCCTCTGACCATGGTCACTATTAAAAAGGCAGACGTGGAATACAGGTCCATACTGCTCTTTCAGTGCACTCTGAACTCTGCACTTGCATACCTCTGAATACTCACTTGGTTGGTACAACCCAGAATCAAGGAATTCTGGGGCCACATAAGCACTGTGGGGTGTCTGTCCCCCACTTCCTCAGTTTCTGTCCATCCACCCCCTCAGCCTCTCTTACCCCAGCAAGCACCATGACACTCACCATACTTGGCCGCTATCTCAAAGTCCCCGACCACAAGGCTGCCTCCCTTCTCCGCATCTGTGGGATGAGACAGGCACCCAGTCTCCAGGAGCAGCACAGAAGCTCATGATCCTGCTGAGGCTTGAGGCTGATGCCCAGGGACCCCATCCCAGGAATTCCAAGGTGCAGAGATGCAGACACTAGCCTCCCCTGGTTCTATGTAGCCATCTACACTCATGGGTCATAATTTCTCTTTTCTGCAGTGCTGGGGATGAAATTCAGGGCCTTGCATATTCTACGCAAGTGCTCCACCAGAGCTACACTCCAGCCAGTTTGTGGCCTCTAAGGTGGTACAGCTAGACCAAGTTGGGACAGTTGTTCCCCACAGGATCAAACAGATAGAGGAGCTTTCAAGGATCATCACCTCCCAAACCCTGCAATGTCCCCCCCAAAGGAACCTCATYAGGATCTCTGGACTGTATGGACTGCACAGACTTGTAGTTTAGGAAAAGTAAAAGTACAGGGGTGGAAATGCTGCTTGAAGCCATAGCACTCATTCAGCAACAGTATTCTAATATCAATTTTCCAACTATGGGTTAAAAAAAGAGTTCTATTAAAAAAAAAGTAATGGAGGAAGTGGCCCCTGACTCTGGGTATTCTCTAAGTCAGCAAATATCACTGTAAAGATGTCACTATTAAGGGTTGTCTGAGGTGTTCTGTTTTGTTTTTATTCAACTAGAGTGATACTTTACAATAAACTACATCCTCAGCCCKTTTTATTTTGAGTCAGTGTGTTACTAAGTTGCTTAAGTCCTTGCTAAGGTGCTGAGGAGGTTGGCTTTGAACTTGTGATCCTCCTGCCTCAGCCACCTGAGTTGCTGGAATTATAGTTGTGCACCACTGTGCCCAGCAAAGGATAGTCTGAATTCCAAATATAACTCATACTGCTCTTTMAGAGCCAAGCATGACCACAACAGGCAGGTGGATTTGTGTTTCTGAATAGCTCCATACCTCCTAAGGTCACCCTAGGGAAGATGCTTACCTTCTGGTAAGGACAGCCTGTGGCTAGGGTGTGGGACCCCAGTGGGCTGCTAGACCAAGCTCAGGTGGGTGGGTTCTGGCTTACAATGTCCATAACTCTGGTGCAATCAGAACAGTGTGCCACTCTAGCTCCTTAGGCCTGGCAGGCCAACCAGTCATGGGAAGAGATTGCATGCCACCTTGACCACTCACCCTGGCTGGCACTTTCCACACTCAGTCCTGTCTTGGGGCAGCAGAGCCATTATAGATGCTGTGGGAAGCCCCAGGTCCCAGGGAATGGAATAGTGACATCATTAGTTCCTTCTGGGAAGTTTTTTATTTAAAGTATTAATTGGGGTTCTTATTCTTACCTCAGGTAATGCATGCTGATATTATCAGTTTATTTCATTAAGAAAATTTTGGTCTCCAACCACTAAAGTGACTTTACAACCTTCGCACAAGTGTTTATATAATCTGGCCAGTGATAGCCCCAGCAAACTCCAACACCTGGCTCTGCACTGACCTTGTTCCCTGGATTAGGAAGGACAAGGTAGAGGGAGACCCACATCATGAGGCTGATCCCTCCAGTGGTGGGGAGAGAGCCACAGGGCCCAGGCAAGATACCAAGAGTCTGAGGCAGTTAAACAATGTGAGTCAGCTCAGGGCAAGACCTGCCCTCCAGCAGGAATCTAAATCAACAGTATGTAACTGTCTATGCATGAACTAACTAGCTTAAGGAACTAATTTATCTATAAAAACAGAGCTCAGTATTGCCTATCCTGATGACAAGATGTCTCCCCACAATTCTGCYCTCCTAAGTCTACTTCCAACATGGCAATACAATTATTCACCTGTCACAGGCCCTCTGCCCAGGAAATCCACAATGCCCAGCCAGCCCCTATCCTTACCTATGAGACCGACACTGGCTGCAAGGTCATAATAGTAGGAAAAAGCATAAAAGTCCACGTGCTTCACCTCTTCTGTTCTGTGTACTTTATTTCGAAGTACTTCTGACACTCGGCTGGCACACAGCTCATAGAGGCTCCCTGCAGGGAAAGGAAAAACATACACCCAGCAGTTGAAGAGCCCTGGGCACTCAGGCCATATGTGGCTTTTGGGGGCCTTTCTTAGTGACTTCATGCCCCCACCGATCCCAAGTCAGGGGCTGCTTACTGCACATGGCAATAGCAACCATGCTGGTTCAGATCAGCAGGTAAGGAAGCCCCCACGTACAGAGAGGCCGGAGAGAATGGAGCCCAGTTCTGAGGCAGGTGGCCTGGGTACCCTAACTGTGGCCCCAGGTAAAGGGCCCTGTGTAGCTGTCCTCATCAGCCAGCGGGTATCAGTCACTCTGCACTCACTGTCTGCCAGCCAGCACTGAACTACATGTCAGCAGCTGCCTCAGAAGTGCTTCCTTTCTATATCACAGGGTGGGGGACACTGAGCCCCTGTGGGCCACTTGCCAAGTTCACATAGCTGGCTGGAGAAGAACTGCAACACGGGGCCCTAGAGATTAACAGACTCTGGAGGTCATACTGACAGCCTTGGACATCTCATTAGGCACATCAATATCCCATACTTTGATCTGCCTTAAGCCAGTCTCCCTGTCTTTTCTAGTGTTCTCAACAGGCCACAGAGCCATGCTCTTGACCTTCAGATCTCATTTCCTCCCAATGTCTTTCCTCAGACTAGTCATACTACTGCCTACTTGTTCACTAAAAAAAATATTTTATCTCGGGGCTTTTGCTCTTGCTTTCCCCTGGCCTGGAGAATCCTTGCTTTAGATCTGGGTGTCTCATTTCCACTTCTTCATGTTTTGGCTCAAAACACCCCACAGGCCTTCCTTGTTTGTCCTGGTTAACATTGCAATGTGCCTCTTGGCACCCCCATTTCCTTGTTTTATTTTTCGTCAAAGAGATTTTTCATGTTTTACTGTCAGATTCCTCCTCAGGGGACATTAGTTGCACTGTCCTGCGGTATGCTGGGTGCCTACAGGGAGACCTGGTCCTCAGAACATGCACAGTGGACCAATGAGTCAGTAAACCTGTGTGGTCACCAAAGATGGACCTTGCTTATGCCATGGGTTCAGCCTTGGAACAATAGTTTAATATTTTCACAGACTCCAAGGGTATAAAGCAATACAGACCATTAGGCTGAGAGGGCAAGTCTTGTGAGGCTTACTCACAGGACAGCAGGATCTCCATATCCAGAGCAGGTGGTGGGAAGTAGCCTTTGCCAGAGAAGTCTCCATTTCTCTGTGTACAAAACTGGCCCAGCACAGGACTTCTGGGCCAGCAGCCCAGATAAAGCCGTTTGTCTTAGAACCTGAGGTTTTTAGGTCCTTCCTCATTGGAGGCCTGACAGGAATTTGGGCCCTTTGGAAAGAAGCACTGGAGACAGACAAGGAAGCCTTGTGCAGAGACCCTACAGGGGGGAGGCAAGGCAGCAGTTCCCAAGCTCTGACAAAGGCCTCTGGAGCCCTGGTGAGGGTTCCCAGAGCTGCCTCTGTTTCCAGGGCCAGTGTGGGCTTGTYTGTGCCAGTCTCCTTCTGAGAGGTATTTGGAAAAGGTACAGGGGATGGGCCGGCTGCCAGTGGACCTCATAAGCCACTGACAAATGACCAACATACCATACCTGCCTTCTGTCCTGAAATCCTGTATGTTATTTCAGCATGTTCCCACTCTCCTTTGAAACTTGGAGATAGACAGGGGCTGACCAAGTCCTTTCCATCCTTAACTGAAATAAAGAGATAAAAATGAAAGAAAAAAAGCATAGTGCCACCAGACCAGGGCCTTACAGGATAGGGATAGCAGCTGGGCACGGTGGTGTAGGCCTATAATCCCAGCAGCTCGAAGCTGAGACAGGAAGATCATGAGTTCAAAGCCAGCCTCAGCAATGAAGAGGCCCTAAGCAACCCAGTGAGACCCTGTTTCTAAATAATATACAAAATAGGGCTGGGGATGTGGCTCAGTGGTGCAGTACTCCTAARTTCAATCCCTGGTACCAAAAACAAAAACAAACAAACAAACAAAAAAACCAAACAAACCAGAAAATGATGTTGCCTGATATTCAAGGTACTGAAGTGCTTCCTTCTGCCAGAGGAGACCTGATTCCTGGGGACATTCCAAGTCAGCAGGAGAGGAAAACCCTCCTCCATCACAGAAGATGCAGAAAACTTCATTGGCCCTGGAAACATGACTATTTGCCATTCCTTGGGGACTTCAGGGTTCTAGGTACTGGGCCAAGTACAGTTCAGTCAGCAGTCATACAACCCTATTGGGAGGGGAGCCATCATTACCCAATTTTAGAGATGATGAGGCTGTAACTGGCAAGTTGGTGGCAAGGCCAGGAACTGAAGCCCACCTGAAGCCACCATGCCATAAATTGAATTAGTGGTATTCTGTAGAACAAAATCCAGGGCCTACAACTAGCAAAAGAAGCTGGTATCTGGTGTCCAAGACTACCCTCTCACTGCCATCCCTCACAGACAGCAGGGTGCTCTCCACTGAGAGGGTCTTGTCTCCTTCCTGGATTCTGGTCTGGGTAGGAAGTAATGGTATGTGAATTTAGGGTGGTCCTCCTTCTTTGGAGGTGCCACATAGGCAGCCTTGTCTATCCTTCTGGGGGCAAAGCCACACAGAGTAGTGCCATGGCACAGAATGCCAGCCTGAGCTTCCTCTACTGCAGCCACACAAGACTCTGGGACTCTAGTGAAGCCACCACCTGACTGAGCCCTGTGGAATCATGAGACACAACAATAAAACAACTACTATTTGCTGTTTTTCTTTCTTGAGGCACATGAGATCAAACCTAGGCTTTAGGCATGCTAGGCAAGCACTCCTTCCCTGAGCTGCATCCTCAGCCCCACCATTTGTTGCTCACCACTGTCTGGGGTGATCTGCTATGTAATAAAGATGGTGAAACCTTCCCAACGCTGTGATGAGTGGGAAGAGAATGGAAGTTGGGCCATGACTCCATAGCTAACCACAAAGGGGCAAATAGTGCCTGCATTCTCCTTGTCAGCTAAAAAGCAGGTGTTTCCAGCCCTGAAGTGAGGGGTGCAAGTGTTTCTGAGACATGGACATATTTTTGGTTTACAACAAGGGAGATACTATTGAGAATACATACCAAGATTTGAAAGAGTGAACCTGGAATAGGGTTACATAGAAAAATGATATTCTAGTTGAACATTCCTATCCTGGCAGAACCGCCAGGCCCTTGAAGAAGTGGCAGAAGTGCTGGACAGGTGGAGGGCAGAGTGTGGCCCCATGGCTGGGGAACATACTCTGTACTCTGGATAGAGTGCCTCACATACACATACACATCTGGTCACTGTCAGTGCTGTCAGGAAAACCAGGCTGACACTAGCCTCAGGGTAGCCAAAAATAGATTATTCTAAGAGCATTTGTGCGTGGACTYGAGGCCCACTGGAAGGAGCAGTGAAGACCGGGGATGAGATGCTCCATCTAATGACCTGGCAAGACTCAGGTTTCTTCTTAGACATGACTGTAGGAAAGGGCCAAGCTGCTGCTTCATTTTTTGGTACCTGAGCCACATCCTYCAGCTCTATTTTGTATTTTATTTAGAGACAGGGTCTCACTGAGTTGCTTAGCGCCTCCCCATTGCTGAGGCTGGCTTTGAACTTGCGATCCTCCAGTCTCAGCCTCTTGAGCTGCTGAGATTACAGGTGTGTGCCACCGCACCTGGAAGTCAAGTTTTGTGTTTTTTTTAATGATCTTTCATAAGCAGAGATGAGGGAGGGATGTTCTTGCAAGTGGGAATCGCTGTGAYTGAGAAAAGCTTCCCCTGATGGAAATCGCTTCAGCATCCCCTTCTCGTGGTCTGTCCTGAACTGTCTGAAAAACCAGGTCATCTCTTCAAATCCCTAAAAACAAGTTCCTATGGTTTGGATAAGTGTCCCCCAAAGGCTCAAGTGCTAAAAGTTTGCTCCCCAGCATGTAGTACTATTCAGAAGTGGTGGAAGCTTTAGGAGGTGGGGCTACTGGAAGAAAGTTAGGTCACTGGGAGACAGCCCTTGAAAGGCCCCCACCCCCTCCTATCTCTCTTTATGCCTGCCAGCTGCCATGAGGTAGCCTCTGCCATGCACTCCCACCCTGACTGTTGCCTCACCACAGGTCCAAAGGCAACAGGGCTAACTCTCYATAAATGTCTGAAACCATGAGCCAAAGTAAATCCTTCCTCCTTATAAGYTGTTTATCTCAAGCATTTTGTCACAGTGATAGCTTAGTAATACACAAGTTGACTCTAAATGTAGGTGAGGACTATATAGTTTATTTGGGTTCCTAGAATTTGTTTCAGAAATGATTTCACTAATGCCTCATAAAAATACAACGGTGCTAGGAGGTAGCTCAGTGGTAGGATGCTTGTGTAGCATGTGCAGTGCCTTGGGTTTGATCCCTAGTACGACAAAAACAAAACAAAAAACAAAGCCACAGAATGTGCAGAGGTAAAACATGTCCTCCTCCATCCCCATCAGGACATCACTGACAAGATCTGAGGCCTGTCTTTCCTAGGCCTACAACAGCCCCACACCTTTGCTGGGTGGCCGGTGGCCAGCATGCAGTGAAGGAGACTTGAGCAACATGTTCCACTTACCAGGTTTTCCCTCCACACCGCCTAAGATCGCCAGTCGTGCTGACATCAATCCCAGTCCCAGGTAGCTGTGGAAATAGTGCCCTGGGTAAGGCTGGCCAGAAACACATCCATCTGTCAGGGCCCAACATGAGTGGGAAAGGTGGGACCTTGTGCAGTGACAAAGCATTTAGTGGGCTTTCCTGCTTCTTTTAGAAGTCTCTTACTGAGTTTAGGGCATGATTCAGCTAATTAATTCAACAAACGAGGGCCTATTACAATGTGGACAATGCAGTGAATGAGACAGACTCCACTCTAGTTTTCACAAAGCACAAGAATCTATGAATATGCCACATTGCAAATAGGTGGCTTAGGAAATTTCTGCACAGTCCATGGGCTCGCCTCAGTCTTTTGCAAGCCTTCTTCAAAGCAGGACAGAATAAGCCTGATAGAAGAATGTGATTTTACTACAAATAAATTTAAAAATGATGAAATTGGGTAGGGCAGAGCAGGCAGGATGAGGAGGATTCAGATGAATRCAGCACGAGGGATTCTAGGATTTGGCATATCTGCTGGTATCTAGCTACTCCATGAGGCAGGAGTTGGAGGCAACCAGGGGACRTGCAATGCCAGTAGAGCTGCCCGCCTGTCCCATCAGCCTCCCCCAACTCCAGTAAACTTACCTGTAGGAGTAGAGCTTATAGGTCCTGTTAAACATCTGCAGGGCTGTCAGATGGCCAGGTGGAGAGGCCTGAAGAGTCCCCTGGGGAGGAACATAATGGTGACTATATTTCCCTTGTCTTTCCAGAACACTGTCCCCATTCCTTCAATTCATTTGGATGAACAGGGACATTCAGATGGAGTCAGTTAAATGAAATTTTCATTAAGTCCTGTGCTGTGAAAGAGTAAGGAGCAAGGAACAAAAAATAAAGCATCCAGAATGTTTCTTCCTTTTAAGTAGTGTTTTACCCATTCTGAAAAATATGGCCCAACCAAAAGAATCAGGATATCAGTAAACTTCATTACTCTGTTCCACTGGAAACTAAACATAATAGAAAAATCGGTGGGTTGGGAGTTTTTTTTATTTTGCAGTACAGGGATTGAACCCAGGTAACTTTACTATTGAGCTACATCCCCAGCCCTTTTTAAATTTTTTTTAGTGTATTATAGATATACATAATTGTGGGGTTCATTTTGACATGATCATTGAAGCTAGAGAACATCATGCTAAGTAAAATAAACTAGACACACAAAGTCAAGGGTTGAATGTTTTCTCTCACATGTGGAAGCTAGAGCAAAATAAGGGGGAAAAAATTGGGAGGAGTGCCATGAAAACAAAGGGGAGATCAGTGGAGTTAAGAGAGGAGATAGAGGTAAGGAGGGAGAAAGACGGTGTAAAGGGAGGAACTGCAGAATGAAATTGACTTAATTAAGCTATGTACACATATGAATACACTACAATGAATTCCACTTATATGTATATCTATAAAGCACCAATTTAAATTAAAACAATAAAGAAATAGAAGACCTTTGGCCTTTGTATTTTGAGACAGGAATTCACTGAAAAGCTGAGGCTGGCCTCAAACTTGCTGTCCTCCTGCCTCGGCCTCCTGAGTTGCTGTAATTACAGGCATGGTTAGGAGGGAGCTATTTTAAATAGCAGATAATATTAACTGGAAGCATTTTTATCTCCATAAGAACATCTGTCTTGATAAGGGTAGAGCTCTCTCCTCTCCTGTGAGTCAGAATATATGCTGTCTGCTCTTGTTCCTTTTCTGGGACCCTGCAAGGGATGGGAGCCACTGGCTTCATTTTTTCTGACCCAAAGGTTTCTGATTATGATCTAATTTATCACCCCACTGAAGATGGAATTTCTATTTTGGTTTTGTTTTTCAGCTGAGTTAAGATTCAAATAAGAAGTGTTATCTATGTGGGAGCTGGCCCAGGGTTTGGAGGTGTGGAGTGACTTCTACCAGCCAATGGGCCTTCCCTGGGCATCCCCTGACCTGCCTCCCCTAAGGCACTGAGGCAGGCAGGGCTGGTTACCTCGACCCGTGGAAGGAAGGTGATCTGAGTGGATCCTCCGCCCAAATCCAGCATGCCCACACTGCTCCTTCCTGGGGTTTTCAAACTGCCTACAGCACAGTGGGTGAAGACACAGCACTGTCATGTTAGTAAGTAGATGATGACAGTAGACAGATCAAAGTGATTAATAGCTGGACCTTTAGCAGAAAGGAAAACAAGACAGAAAAATAACTGCAACTAATTAAAAATCTCCATCGAAAGGAGTACTATATGTTTAAAGGACAACATCAATGGCTCTACCAGCTTTGGCATTTAAAATTTTTTTTTTGGTACCAGGGATTAAACTTAGGGGTCACATCCCAGGCCCTTTACTTTCTATTTTGAGACAGTGTCTTGTTAAGTTTCATAGGGCCTCACTAAATTGATGAGGCTGACTTTGAACTTGAAATCCTCCTGCCTCCGCCTTCCAAGTTGCTGGGAYTATAGGACCACCTTGCCCAACCCAGCTTTGGCTTTGACAGGCTGACACTGCCTGTCTGGAGAGACTGTATACTGGCTGCATTCACCAGGTCGCAGGCCGCTGCCTTACCTTCCAGGGAAATGCTGGAACCTGGGACACAGGCCCTGGAAGGATTCCAATCCTYTCCCTTACCCATTGGTCCCATCTTCATTTCTGTTCCCCAAAAGCCTGTGAGGTGGACATTCCTCATATATCCTCTAGCATCTTCTCCCCACACCCCCCAAAGGAGTAAATCCTGCCAGGAGACTTCTTTCTTTCTCATATCCATATCAGACACACTGCACTATTCCACTGCAGGGACTTGTACTTGTAATCTATGTAAAATGACTTCTTTCTCTGTTCCCAAGAATAGATGTTTTGTTATAAGGTGATTAGCATTTGCATCACATTGACTATTAAGAAACTTGGCTGGTTTTACTCACTACTTCTCTCAGAAATGAGAGARCAGGGCCCCTGGTAGAGGTTTGACTGGAGACAGGCAGGAACAGTGAGTGGGAGAAATAGTTCAGGAGAGGTGCTCTTCCAGCATGCACCCCTGTGAGTGCACAGCTGACCATGGGGCCAGGCAACCCCGCCCCCATCCCCAACAGCCTACTTCAGGACCAGCAATGCTGTGAAATCCAAGGRGTTATAGAAACAAGATCTCTGCTCTTCAGAAAGGCCATCAGCCCTCCTTTACATATGACTGTGAACTGTTAGTCTTTCCCTTTGAAGTAAACACACACCTGTTAGGAAGTTGACAGTGATCCATGCTGATACGCCTACAAAAGAGTGGCAGAGGCAGCACTGTAATTGCTTGAGACGCTGTTAACATAACACCAAGATGGCTACATGCTGGTTTTCAGATTGCAGGAGTACCAACTGCCCACTGCCTGAATGCTCTCAGTCTTCAGACCATCCACAGAGAGGTATTCATTCATAAGTAGATCCAGCAGCTTCTGGCAGGCTATTCTAGAAGATGCCACACTGAAACCCAGAACACTTTACCAAAAGCYATGCCTCCTTCCCATTCTTTATCACCAGCTTCTTCTTTTGGAAGAGGCAGAAAAAGAACCCAATGTCCCCTCCACTCCCATATAAACTCACTTTGTGTGTGTGTGTCATGTGGTACTAGGGATTGAACTCAAAGCCTCATGCATGCTAGGCAAGTGTTCTACCCCTCACTACTTCTGCAACCCTACAATCTTACTTTTAAGGTCATATTTAAAATCAGGGCCAGTGAGGATCCTCAAATGTCTGTCTTAGAATTAGCAATGTAACCACAATATTCTAAACATGGAAGCAACTGGGTTCTCTCCAAACATCCTTAACACTGAAGACAAGATGTTTTCAGAAACTTTATCTGTGCTAAATCTGAAGTTGGTCAAGATGAGAATCTGTCACACTGGACCCCCAAAGACCATCTGGTATATTTAAATGTTGAGTGGGACCCTAACCTCAATTATTTTTCATTTCTGTATCTGACCAAGGAGAGAGCTTCCATGTGTGGAATTCCCAGTAGCAGTATAGAGCCCTCTTGTTGTGACAGCATTACTGTCTGGAGGTACTTTCGGATACTCTACCTTCGTCCGTTCCGTTCATGATGGAAACACAGTCATCCCCTACCAGGAAAGGTGATGCCTTAAACACCTCTTTCACCTAAATGTAAAGAGAGACATTGCTTCATCATTTAGAATGTATTCAGTGGTTTCCAGGTGTGGCATGTAGTCAGCAGGCAGTAATCAAACATGGAGGGGTCTGAAGAGCAGCAAAGCTTCCATTTCTCTTTAAGCTTATTCTATCCTCTGTGAGGGGTTTCTTCACTTAATCTCCTCCCCAGGCTAGCTAAGGCATCTGCTGCCCTTGTGACCTTGTCTTAGGACACTTTGGACTGGAAGAGCTCTGGGGGAATGGATGGCGTGGGTGTGAGCTGTTTGTTGTACAGTGCGACTGCAGGGCCCCAAAACGCTGCCCAGCTTTGGGATGTGAGATGAAGGGTGTGAAGCCCTACAAGGCAGAGCTCAAACCTGGGGACCACTTATAAGTCTAGTGGGCACTGCTCCGGGGAGCCAGCCCAGCAGAAGGGAGGCAGAGGCCATGAGCATTTTGGTGTATTTCCTTCTCTCTTTTCTAGCAAGTCTTAGTATACAGAAACTTACATGCATCTGCACACCCCAACCTCACTGTTGTCCCACAGTTCCACATTGTGTGTAACCCTGATTGATRTACACTGTGTCATCACCTCTCAGGTAAATAGTGTAGGAACAGTGTAGAGATTGAGGGGGATCATTTTGCCTAAAGCAGTTTCCTGATACAGCCAACASGAAGAGTCATTCCCAGCCCCAGAGCAGAGTGCCAGGCAGTTAGGGACATGGGAGCCCTGAGGAGTGCTGGGACTGGAAAGGAGGCTAAGGGCCTCTTAAGCAGTCATGTCAGAGCATCAGACCTAGAGCAGGACTCTGTCCCTAGAGAAAATGAGCACAGTAAGTTTGGGCTGAGATGTCAAAGAGTTTAGTTCCCATAGCCCTCTGACTGACAGCAAATCTCTGGGTAGGGGATGGACTTCAAAAGCAGTGTACTTTTAAAATAAAGCTCTTTTTCTTGTTACAAGACACAGATCCACTCTAGAAAACATACATATCCTAAAATATCATTAAAAAGACACCTAAAGTTGAGGCTGTGAACACTGAGGGTTCCCTCAGGACACTTCCATGTATTCTTTCTGCTCAACACTGGCTACAGGGAGAGTGTTTTTAGCTATCATTAGCCACCCCCTAGAGAGGGAAATGGCTCAGCTCACCTTTTGCAATAACTTATGGGCCTTTTCTCCTGGTAACAGACGCAAACCAGCTGTGGCCTTGAGGACCAGAGGGGTGACCTTCCAGAAGTCGAATGGAATCTCTTGTTTAGCAACATCCAGCAGTTCCTGAATTCCCTGAGCACTCTGTGGACATTGTAAAAGCAAATCAGGGGCTGTCATACCCAACATACAGTGCCATCTCCCCACTTTTTAAAATATATAAACATTTTTTTCTAATTTTCAAAACTGTAGAACTAAGTGCCATGAATAACTACACTGAGGAACTATGTCACACAAAGGTGTAAAAGACCCAAAGGTTACATGAGGTCCTATGTCAGAAGAGGTGTGGAGTAGGGAGCAATTTGACAAAGTGTAGCTGAGCATGTCAATGGGTACACCRCCACAGAGGGCAACTGGCAATGTCTGTCCAAGAGGGAAACTCACCTTACTTTTACCCAGAAGTTCCAATCTAAGAATTCACGTGGGGATTATGAAATACATGTCAGGTGACAGACTTTGCTACTCTATTGTGTATGTAAAATAAAAACAAAGAAAATAACACATGTGTATGTAAACCAGCTCTTTAAGGCTACATGAGACAGCAGGGGTGTGATTCTGGGGGCAGCATGGAGGGATACTTGCTGATACCCTAGCAAGCTTAGAAATTTGTCTCATTGAATGTGTGTTACCTACCCAGAAGGTTAAAATTTTTAAAATCCTATGAGTTTATTCTAAGATATATAATTTAATCAGGTTTTAACCTCATTTCTATTCTCAAATTCAAATTTCTACTTGTTTTTAAATCAAGCTACAAGAAAGCAAGGCTTGTGTTATGATGTCTGACAACATGACATATCTGTATCCAAGAACAGGATCTGGAAAATGGTGGAACCAGGTTGACACGTAGCTCATGTCACTTATTTAGCACGTGCAAGGCCTCAGGTTCCATTTCCAGCAACAGACACATGCACACATTTGCAAGCACGCATACACACACACACACACACACACACACACACACACACGCAGCTGAAACCACAGGGAACCCACAATTCTACAAGCACCCTGTTTTGCAAGTGCCTTAAACCAGACATCCTGTAATAGTGCAGTTGTGTTAAGAGCTTTAGAAGTATAAACACTACAAACTTACAGAAATCATTATGTAGCAGTTTAATGAAACTTCTTTTGTTTATTTATTCTTTTACATTTACTTTGTTTTTGGATTTTGCATAATAGACTTTTTTGTGTATGTGTGTGTAGCATTGGGTCTTGAACATAGGGCCTTACTCATGTTAGGCAAAATGCTCTATCATTGAACTATACCCCCAGTTCCTGTAATATATATATTTTWAATATATTTTTAATTTTTTTGTTGTAGTTTTTTTGATGGAAGGTAGGAAACACTGACTAAAAGAAATTAAAAATATATTATTAAGACTGGGGGAGTAGCTCTGTGGTAGAGCACTTACCTAGCATGTGAAGAGACTCTGGCTTCGATTCCTAGTATCATTAAAAGGAAAAAAAAATGTGCAAAACTCACAAGACAGTGTGAAAAAATAAGAGACTGCACACTTATCTCCACCTGACCATACTCAAAGGCACCAAATGCCCCTGCCAGCACCAGCAAAGATGCCTTTCTCTAAGAAGATAGTCTACCTAATCCAAAGGAAAGGAGTTGGCTTTACTATTAGAAGACACTTGATGAACAAACAGACAAAAGAGGATTATTACCTTTTCAACGTCGTCAGCATAAGCGGAAAGACCGGGCTTCAGTGCTTTGAAGGTTTCATGGGTCAAGGTGGGGGTTTCTAAGGGGAAAATGTTTTTAAAAAGGCACAACAATGAGTACAGGCACAGACATATGAATAAATAAATAAATAAATAAATATATATATAAAACTGTGACTAGCTGAACTTTTGGTCTGACCACATAGACCAATGCCAGAGTGGTAGAGGCCCTATCCTTCTTTGTCTAAATTTTGCCTCTTCAGTTCAGCAGAACATGAATATGCTACCTAATATTTGGGTCAGAACTTTGTTCAACTTTGGGATAGGTGAGGATATAGCTCAGAGGACTATTGCTTRCATGCATGAGGCCCTGGGTTTGATCCCCAGTACTGTAAAAAACCAAAACAAATAAACCCAACAATCTTTATTGAATATAAAACACTCACAGAACACTACATCCATTTAAAGTGTTAAATTTTTTTTTTCAGAGTGAAAAGTAGAAGTTTATTAAAGGATAGCAGAAAAGACTTCTCCCAGAGGAAGAAGGGGACCCAAGAGGTGGAATCCCTAAAGTGTTAAATTTTAACAGTTTATTCTTGCTTATTCAACAGAACAAATGATTTTAACCTATAAATATGAAAATACCTTCCTTGATGCTGGAATGGATGTATYACAGTCCTAAAGATTTAGGAGTCTGTTAAAGAAATTGAGTATTTTACCTTATTAGGAAGCTGAACTCAAAGGAAAGTGTTCAGATGCATCCTGTGGCTTCAACCCAAGGCCTCACACATGCTAGTCAAATGTTCTATTACTGAGCCTCACTCCAGCCTTTAAATTAGCTTCAAAACCACTTCTGGAGGGAGGAATGGTATCTAAATGTTTATTTATAGGAATAAATTACAAAATAAAGCAATATCATTTACCCTGTAGAATCAGCAAGAATTAACCATACTAAAACTAACACTTTAAATACATATGGATTTTTATATGTAAACTATCTTCAATAAAGGTAATTTATTTATTTTTTTTTAAAAAGCAAAGTTTTAGCCCAAACATAAAAGTAAATAATAATGAAATTAGATCAACTATTCCACAATAGTTTTAGAGAGAGGTTATTGGTATCAACAGAGAGCAGTTAAATGCCAGAATAGTATCTACTCAAAAGGGTCACTTTTTTGTGGACTAGAGGAGGGACACTCATATGTGTGACYTGGCACTTGTCTGGCAAAAGGCTTGACATGCTCACTAGCTCTAGGTCAGAGATGCACCAAAGAGGGCAAACCTTAGGGTAACAGGCATGGGAGATAAACAGTGAAGAACTGGGCAGCAACCAGGGTCCCCCTACAGAAACCACCTGCCCTCTAGACAGAGCCCTAACCCTACCCTAGGAGGCAAAGCTGGTAGGAGCTCAGATTACAGGTTCCTTCTCACTGCTGAGGGCCATACCATCTGTCATCACCTGGCTGTCTGGGCGTACTGTGGCAGCTTCTGGCAGCCTGGGTTCCAGGTTTTTGCTATTTATCTAACTTGCCTGTATTCCTGGTTGTTATAAACCTGAATATAGAGTTACATCCTGCTTTAAACTCTTGTGATATGACCTCTGGCCCAGGTCATGGTCATAGCCACCCAAACAGTCTGTATGGGGAGGGGACAKGTTTCATTAAATGCCATCTAGGGTCTCAACTGTTCTACAGTAGTGATCATTACTTGCTACTATTACAATAACTTGGGAATCCTGGGGAATTTAGATGCCACATCCTGAGTCAACATCTCTTAATAACTGCATTATTTGTGAGTTATGCTAGGATCAGACTCAGGACCTCATACATGCTAGGCAAGTAATCTACTCTGAGCTACATTTTCAGTATCTATATTTTGATAAGCTATCAGGTGAGTCCAAGGCAGGCCTCCAGCCTATACTGTCTTCTAGTTGAGAAGATTCCAAGAGCCCTGCCATGATAGGGGAGAAGGTAGACCCCACGTCTGGGCGCAAAGAGGCTCACAGTCAGGCCAGGATACCTCCAGGAGGCTGAGCAAATTGGAAGACATGCACGCGGGTGCCAGTGCTTCCGGCATCAAACATGATCCCGTAGAAGACCTCATGACCACGTATAGCTGATCCTAGTGAGTTGCGGGCCTGCTGTCCCCATCGGGCCCCTGAGGCTGCCCCAGCGATAGTGAAAAAGGCCTGGGTGGCAGAGGCCCGGTGCCACTTGATGTAGACGACGTAGATGAATAGGCCCAAGCACAGTCCCAGGGGGTATGCCACCTTCGTCATCCGCAGGGTCCCATGATTTGGTATTTTTCTCATTTCTTAGTCTGCTGGTAGGAAAAGAGGAGAGGCAGAAAAACTATGTCAGATTTCAAGGTTTCAATGTGTGTCAGAAGTCCCGCAGTTCAGGGACAAAATGTACAACCAGAAACTGGCCTGCATTTACTCCCTGGAGTCAGAAGCTTCATTTGATCCTTGAAATGGTTCTGGAAGGTGTGGTCCAGAACTGAGGGCTACAAACACTGGGTAACCTGTTCAYGGTTGTATCCTTTGTAGGTGCTGAAGTGGGCACAGATCATAGCTGTGGCCTAAGTGTCTGGGATACATTGCTACTTAAAATAAAAAGCCATGTGTAAGCAATGTTCCTAAATCATTCAAGTAAGAGAAATGAGTATTTCATCCATTCTTTGAATCATTACTTATACTTCCACTAAAGCAATTTACTCTTCCAAAGGTTTAAAAAACTGTCCCTCAGGCAACTGGAGAGTCTAAAACAAGTGGGAAAAATGTGACTCGTTTTTCTGGAAGTTTCACAACAGAGGCTCCTTTCATTCGCATAGTACATTCCTGCCAAGGAGGAAGTAATGTTTGCATGCTTTCAAAGTCTATGAAAATTCTACCCAGGTAGCAAAATAAATTAATTTGTCACTGTAWTTTTGGTTCAATACACCCCCAAATGAAAGCATTTGCTCATGTTTTATTATCAGCTCCTGGTGCAAGGCAGTATGTGGAAACCTGAGTCTTCCATGGATAAGAAGTGAGGGAACTGATTCTCAGGGCTTCCCCTGCCCTTGGGGAACATCCATCACTCTGCCAGTCCTGTACTTTCTTGTCTGTTGTGGGGAGTGCAGTGGCACTACTAGGGGAACAGAGGGTAGCGAAATGAGAGCTGGAGCAGGACCCKGTCTGGGCTTAAACTGCAGTATCATGTGACCATGTCAAACTGTTCCCCCCAGAGGGGCTGCTCTCCTCATCTGTAAGGTTAGGCTGCTCACAGGAAAGCTGCATCTTGACGTTGGGGATTCAATGTGCTCAGGACAGGCTACTGAATGCAGAATTTGCAGAGGGGAAAGAGAAGGAAACATCCCCTGGGAACTAGGAACAGTGAGGACTGTGTGGCCACATTGACTGGGGAGGGAGACACTATAGAGGGGCCAGTCCTATGTCAGCTGCATGCCAACCCGGAGGCTGCTAGGTGGGGTTAGAAATGGAATGAAGGTTCTTAAGGAGAGAGCATGTAGCAGGCCTTCCAYGGTCCCTCCTTCCTGGGTTTCAACTTGTGGTCACACCCATATGCCCTCAGGACCCGAGAGCTCAGGGCTGACAAGTACTGCTTTTATGTCCCTGGCTGAGGGAAGAAGCCTAAAATGGGGCAGGAGGCAGGACAAATCACCCTTCTGGGTTGCAGAAAGGCTCTCCAGGCAGGTTCTGAGAAACAAGCCTCCTTCCCCAAACCTACCAGCTAGATTGACTAGGGAATACAGACAGAAGACCTGACTAAAATCAGAAACAAAAGAGGACATTACTATTAATTTTACAGAATAAAAATGATTRCAAGAGAGTATTATGAACAATGATATGTCCTCAAATTGGATAACTAGATGAAATGGACAAATTCCTAGGAACATACAACTCACCAAGATGAATTATGAAGACACAGAGTATCTGAACAGACCTAGAAGCAGTAAGGACATTGAATCAAAAATCTCCCAACAATGAAAAGTATTGGACTAGATAGCTTCACTGCTGACTGTACTAAATATTTTAAAAAGAATTAACATAAATTCTTCTCAAAATTTCCAAAAAAATACCTCTTTACTTGTTCCATAAGGCCAGTATTATACTGATATTTAAGCCAGATAAGACACTATAGGTACAGACCAATATCTCTTGTATATTGATGAAAAAATCCTTAACAAATGCTAGAAAACTTTACTCAACAGCATAGTAGAAGATTTATGTACCATGACCAAACGGGATTTATTCTTAGAAAGTAACATATGAAAACCAATCAATGTAATATATGCTTCATTAACACAAGAAAGAGGAAAAAAAAACACAACGAAGGAAAAAACCAACAGGATTGTCTCTGTTGATGTAGAAAAAGCACATAATAAAATATAACACATTTTCAGAATAAAAACAATCAATATATTAGAAATAAACTATCTCAGCATAATAAATGTCATATACGAGAAAATCACAACAGGATCAATGGTGAAAGACTTGACATTTATGGTAAGAACAGGAATAAGAAAGGATGCCTGCTTCTACCACTTCTAATGAACATAGTCTTGAAAGTCGTCTTAACCAATCTATTAGAAAAGAAAAACAGGTGGGATCCAATATGGCTGGCCAGAGGCAAGCAGCATTTGGTGTTGTTCCATGACCTGGGACTCAAGTAGTGAGAATACTGCTTTTCTGCAAGTGATATTCCTGCTCCTGCGTAGGAATCAAGGTCACTGTGCATCCAGGGCTCCGGGCTTCAGCGTCAGAGTAGGTCTCCCAACTATTCACCCATGCAGGACTACCAGGTACTAGAGCAGGACCAGTAGCATTAGCACCAGTGCAAAACATTTGGCCATCCACATGAGCAGAAATCATGGATGCCACTCCCACACAGGACACCGGGCCGCTTCCTACATGCAGGGACTCCGGCTGCCACTCCCATGTGGACYCCCATCTAACAATGTGGGGTTCCCCCAGCCGCTGCCATCTTGGGACTCCCCCAGCAGTGGAGATAGTCCCCTAAGCGCAATAGCCTGCCTGCACCCAAGAACTCCATACAGGCTCTGAAGTCAGCCAGCAGCCACACACTGCAAGCCACAGACATCATCTCTGAAATCAAAGTCCAATGCCATCGTCTGGCTCCCTCCACCTGACCCAACACCCCACCATTGAAAGCAGGTGCCTCCATCTTGGGTCACATTCATCACCATTTTCGGTGGGGGCAACTCCTACTTTGGAACTCCGGCTGGCCAGCTACTCAGTTTCTAACTCTCCCCTCTCCTCAGCAGCTGCTAGCCTGGCACAGTGACACTCTGGTTACCTTCACCATCCTGAGGGCAGAGATACCAGCTAACAATAGATGACCCCACCTATTGGATGAGAATGGAAGCAGGAAAGATACTGATCTCCAACCAAAACAATCCCTGTCTCTTCCTTCAAGATTTTGTTTTCCTTCTCCCTCTCTATTCTCCCACCCTCACATGTTAAATACCCAACCTGTGTGAAACCAAGTACTTTGCATGTGTTAGGATTTTGAGGACTGGGATGTCTAAATAGTATATTACCATTGTGTTGTATATTCTTTTTTTTTTGTTTGCTTGTTTTCCCCCCACCAATTTCTACTATTTTAACCTTTTTAAATTTTTCTTATTTGTGTGTGTGTTTTATGTACTCTACTGTCTTCCCACTTACTTGTCTACCCAAAATTACTTCTTCTCTCTTCTCCTGCTACTAATCTTCCTCTTTAGATTTCGCTTTCACATTTCCTAAGATAAAATAACTCTATATCCTCACCTTCCTCTTCCTCAGCATATCATCCTACTCCTCACCCCCAGTTCTTTGTCCACCATCAGAAACTGTAAACCCTTTTACAAACCTACTTAGTATATTGTAGATAATAATTGAATTCACCATTTCTGTACATTGTGACCAAACTGTAAAAGTCTTAATTGCAAACATTTGTTTTTAGGGTGTATATTGTTTATACTGGGATCTGTTAATATTGTCCTTCTCCTCAAAGGAGAGGTATTGGAACCCTACAGGGGCACTATAAGTCTATAGGGTAAAAACAGTAACGCCTCGGATCCACAGTGCTAGAAGATACACAAGCAATATGAAAAGACAAGGGAAGAAAGTGCCCCAAACAAATCAAGGTACCACATTATTAGAATCCACGGCCAGCACAACATGACAGAGAAGGAGTTCAGGATGTTCATAGTTAAAATGTTCTGTGAATTAAAAGATAATATAAGAGAGTAAATACAGGCAGCAAATGATCATTTGGACAAAGAGCTACATAAACAAATACAGGAAGCAAAAGATTAGTTTAGTAGGGAAATAGAGGTTCTTAAAAAAAAACACAGAAATCCTTGAAATGAAAGAAACAATAAACCAAATTAAAAGTTCAATTGAAAGCATCACCAACAGCATCACTTGGAAGACAGGAAGTCAGACAATGAAGACAAAATATATACTCTTTAAAAAAATGTTGACCACACAGTGAAAATGGTAAGGAAAACATGAGCAGATCATTCAATAAATATGGGACAGCATAAAAAGACCAAATTTAAGTTAATGGGATAGAGGAAGGCATAGAGTTCCAAACCAAAGGAATGAGCAATCTATTCAATGAAATAATATCAGAAAATTTTCCAAACATGAAGAATGAATTGGAAAAACAAATTCAAGAGGCTTACAGGATGCCAGATGTACAAAATTACAACAGATCCACACCAAGGCACATTATAATGAAAATGCCTAATATACAGAATAAGGAGAGAATATTAAAAGCCATGAGAGAAAGGATTCAGATTACATATAGGGGAAAACCAATTAGAATATGTGCAGATTTTTCAACCCAGACTCTGAAAGCTAGAAGATCCTGGAACAACATATATCAAGCTCTGAAASAAATGGATGCTAGCCAAGAATCTTATATCCAGCAAAACTAAGCTTTAGATTTGATGACGAAATAAAAATCTTCCATGATAAACAAAAGTTAAAAGAATTTATAACTCGAAAGCCTGCACTACACAACATCCTCGGCAAAATATTCCATGAAGAGGAATTGAAATACAATAATGAAAATCAGCAAAGGGAGGTATTACACTAAAGGAAAAACTAATCAAAGGAGAAACCAAGTCAAGTTAAATACCAAACATAAACAAAAATGGCTGGGAATGCAAATCATGTCTCAATAATAACCCTAAATGTTAATGACCTAAACTCACCAATCAAAAAACAYAGACTTGCAGATTGGATTTTTAAAAAAAGACCCAACAATATGCTGCCTCTAAGAGACTCATCTCATAGGAAAAGACCTCCACAGACTGAAGGTGAAAGGTTGGGAAAAATCATACCGCTCACATGGACTGCGGAAGCAAGCAGGGGTTTCCATTTTCATATCAAATAAAGTAGACTTCAAGTCAAAGTTAATCAAAAGGGATAAAGAAGAATATATTAACAAGACATAACAATAATAARTGTATATGCCCCAAACAATGGAGCATCTACGTCATCAAACTCTTCTCAAGTTCAAGAGTCAAACTGACCACAAMACTATAATTCTGGGTGACTTTAACACAACTCTTTCACCACCGGATAGATATTCCAAACAAAAGCTAAACAAAGGAACTACAGAACTCAATAATACATCAATAACTTAGACAACTGACATATATAGAATATGTCATCATTCAATGAATGAATATACTTTCTTCTCAGCATAGATCCTTCTCTAAGACAGACCATAAATTATGATATTATGCTACAAAGCAACTCTTTTCTTATATTTATTTTTTTTAGTTTAGTTTGACCCAATACCTTTGTTTTATTTATTTATTTTTATGTGGTGCTGAGGATCGAACCCAGTGCCTCATCATGGGAGGCAAGAGTTCTACCACTGAGCTACAACCCCAGCCCCACAAAGCAACTCTTAGCAAATATAAAAAAGTAGAGATACTATCCAGAATTCTTTCAGGTCATAATAGAATGAAATTAGAAATCAATGATAAAATAAAAACTAAAAGCCACTCCAACACCTGGAGACTAAGTAACATGCTACTGAATGAACAATGGGTTGCAAAATACATCAAGGAGGAGATTAAAAAATTCTGAGAGGTGAATGAGAACACAGATACAATGTATTGAAATCTCTGGGACACTATGAAGGCAGTACTAAGAGAAAAGTTCATTGCATGGAGTTCATTCTTTAAAAGAAGACAAAGTCAACAAATAAATGACTTAACATTACATCTCACAATCCTAGAAAAAGAAGAGCAAAACAACAGCAAAAGAAGTAGAAGGCAAGAAATAATTAAAATCAGAGCTGAAATCAATGAAACTGAAACAAAAGAAACAATTGAAAAAATTGACAAAACAAAAAGTTGGTTCTTTGAAAAAATAAATAAAACTGACAAACCCTTAGCCATGCTAATTAAGCAGAGAAAAAACTCATTACTAACATACGTAATGAAAAATGAAATATCACCACAGACACTACAGAAATACAGAAGATAATTAGAAATAATTTTGAAAACTTATACTCCAATAAAATAGAAAATATCAAAGGCATTGACAAATTTCTAGAGTCATCTGATTTACTCAAATTAAATCAGGATGAAACAAAACTTAAACAGATCAGTTTCAAGTGATGAAATAGAAGATGCCATCAGAAGCCTACCAACCAAGAAAAGCCCAGGAACAGATGGATACACAGCCGAGTTCTACAAGACCTTTAAAGAAGAACTAATACCAATACTCTTCAATTTATTTCAGGAAATAAGAAAAGAGGGAGCACTTCCAAACTCATTCTATAAGGCCAATGTTACCCTGATTCCAAAACCAGGCAAAGACACATCAAAGCAAGAAAACTCCAGACCAATATCTCTAATGAATATGGATGCAAAAATTCTCGATAAAATTCTGGCAAATCAAATACAAAAACATACCAAAAAGATAGTGCGCCACGATCAAGTAGGGTTCATCCCAGGGATGCAAGGTTGTTTGTACAACCATATACATTGGGTCAGATGAAGAAGTTTTAAAGATGTGGTGATATTTACACAACAATGTGTACATACTTGAAGCCACACTTAAAAATGGCTAAGATGGTAAATTTTATYACAATTAAAAAAAATACTCCAATGGCTTAACCCAGGCTGGTAACATACATGAGATCTGAGGTTGGAGGAGGAAAGGCAATGGTGGTGGGGGAATGCAGAGGATGGGGTCTGCCTACTGCTGCACTGCATCAAATTCATCATTTTTTAAAAAAAWTTTTAAAAATTAGCTGTAGATGGACACAATACTTTTATTTTATTTGTTTATTTTTTTATGTGGTCCTAARGATCRAACCCAGTGCCTCATGTGTGCTAGGTAAGTGCTCTACCACTGAGCTACAACCCCAGCCCATCAAATTCATCATTTTACAGTTTTAGTTACCTCCCACTTTCAACAAAGGCGACAGGCCATGCCTTACTGARATTCATCCTAATTTAAATGTTCTTGTTTTTTATTATTTATTTTATTTTATTAGCATCCTGTTCCTTTGGTTCTTTTTCCACACCCTTGCAACATTTACTGCTGCTCTCAGCCCTAGCCACTTGAGTTCTCTCCTTAGGGTTCAGTGGCTTCTCAGCCAACTGCTGCTGAAGGAGGCTTGAGTGATGGCTTAGAGACAGAAGAGGCAGTAAGAGAAAGATGTAGGCTTTAACAGTGCCCTAGCACCTGAGTGTGGTCACAGATAGGAACAGATCTTTGGGGAGGGTCCATGTGGCAGGAGGAGGTAGTGACCAGGTTTCCCTACACACCAAGTTAGACATGATAGGACATCAGTCAGAAAGGGGACTGACCCTATGGTAGGTTGGGAAATTACCTGCATTAGGGGATGTTAGCTGATATTATCAGAGAGATGTGGTGTAGGGAATGCCCAYGCTGAGGCAGCCAGCTCTTACCCTACTACTGCTTCTCTCATAGGCCTCCCTTTGTTAGGTTATTGTAACYCAGCTTCAGGTTTCTATGTAACCATTAAATATTGACTTAATATTTACAAAGTTCTGAAGCAGTCAGTAATTGCCAGAGATGAATAGTGAGGAYACAAAAGTAATACTAACACCTTGTAACTATGAAAGCATTTTATCTCAGCCTCTATAGAAGTAAGTTTTTATCATGCCCTGAGTCAGTCTAAGAACCATGTTCTACACTATCAGATTAATAGGTGGTCTACCAAATTTGAGGCAAAGGTGGCTATTATCTACCCATTAAAAAAAAATCCCTTATTTGCCATCTCCTGTGTTCAGGGGTCCATAAGAAGAAGAAGGAGCTGCAGGGAAGATGAGTCCATCTAGGGCATTCCCCCAGTGACCCACCTCCTCCAGCCATACCCACCGGCCAACAGTTATCACCTATTCACACAAAGATGGACTGATTAAATTATAGCTCTCACAATCCAATCATCTCTGAACATTCCTGCATCAACAAGGAGCTTTTGGGGGATACTGCATATCTAAACCATAACAAGTGTTACAGACAGAAGTCTATAGCTTGTCCTGACTAGCTGGGGATAGCAGGTTGGCAGCTGGAAATGCATGCTCCATATGATTGGATTGGTGGTTGCCTAATCTGTTGGCTAGTTTTTGTCAGGTTTTTGTTAAAGCATTGGAAAAGGATACAATTGAAAATGACTGAAGCACAGGCTAAAAACGAGACATAATAAAGCACACTAGCTAACCACTCCTTCTCCTGGTAGTCATAAAAAATCTTTTCTCAGCAACACGCCATACATAAATAAGTTCTGTCAACATCACCTGCTATTTCCTTTTCACAGGAAACAGTGGGAGAGGAGGTACTTTCAGACTTCCTTACACAAATAGCTGCCCGCCTCAGGTTCTGAATATTAGGCTCTAGAAAGGAGAAATACACACACACACACACACACACACACACACACACACACACACACCATATTAGCCAATTGATGCTTTCCAGGGTAGAACTAGAGGAATAAAAAACTGTTTTTGGATTTGCTGCATTATGCTTGTCAGATTTTGCAAGTGACTGCCATTTTTTTTTTCTTTCAGTGCTGGGGATTGAACCCAGGTCCTTTGCACATGCTAGGCAAGCATTCTACTACCCCAGCACATGAATGATTACATTTTTAATACAATGGCAACATCAACAGGGAAACCTCTTCCAGAAAAACACTATTCTTCCCCCTCCATGGCTCTGCACACTGGGTCTGAGGGAAAGCCTTTTTCCTTTGTAATCAAAATTCACCATCCACTTCTCCCCAGGGAGACTCCTTCCCAGAGGTTTGAAATTCCCACACTGATGGCTAGGGTTTGGGATTTCCTCTGTATCCTGTGTGATTGTAGGATGTGTGCCTCAGTATACATAATCCCAGAATACAGGCACCTGTAAAGATTCCTAAAACTGTCCAAGAATTTCCCTGTGACTAACTGCTTTGGAGGCACATCCAGGGTGAGGGATTGTGCCTACCAAGACCTTCCCAGCAATGTAGGTTTTCTCCCATCTCTTAAAACCATTCAATGGCTTCCAGCTGCACACTTTTCTCTGTCCCCTCTCATCTGTCCTTTCCCTTTTCACTCTCTCCTGGCTGTTTCATGCTTCCACTGAATATACCAGAAGGTATACAGCTCTGTCCAACCCAGGATCATTCCCTCTCTCAACCTGAAGCACCCATGGCCACAGGTCAACTCAGGCAGAACCACCCTGACCACCTACCAGCTCTTCCTGGTCACCATTCCATCAAAGTTAATTGTCCTCCTACCTTCAGTACTGATGAAACRACAGAATCTTACCTGTTTCCTCGGCATCCCAAATGGACTATGAGATCCAGAAGGAGAAGGGCCTGTTTGTCCTATCCCTGGCACTGAGCTTGGTGGCAGGTCACTAACTGCTGGCTGAATGAATGAATGAGGCAGGAATGTATAGCCTCTTGGGGATAGAGACCCCTGCTATATTACGCATCCTGTGRTCCACAACACTGAACAAGGCCCACGGGTCAGCGGAGTCCAGATGTCCAGAGAGGACAAACAGAACCGGGGCAGAAAGGGAGAGAGAGAGGAGCCTGGGGCTGCGAGTGACCCTCAGGCAGCCCTCCAGGCGCTGTCGCTCTGAACCAAGAGTTTGCCAGGTGAGTGAGCCCTGGGAAACCCGGACCCTCCTCCACTCTGGCCCCCGCCTCCAAGGTGCCACCGCTTTGGGAAGGCCCACCTGCAGCCCCCGAAGCCCGTAGCTTACCCTGCACAGCACCCTCTACCCCAACCACGGAGGCTGGTGTCCTTCCCAGGCAGTCGGCGGGGTGCTTCCTAGCTCTCTGGCCCCAGCCGGCGTCACCTCGGCCTCTAACCGCGGAGTGCGACCCCGTGGATCTTGCAAGCCTGGGCCCCGCCCACGTGCATGCTACGTCACCGGCTGGGCGGGGCGTCGCGGTGCCGCTGAGCAGGCGCAGGCGCGGTGTAGCGTGGGGCGGGGCGTCGTGGCTTACGTTCTTTGCCCAGATGCCGAGGTTCTGTCAAGGTGCGCGTTCCCTTGGCTGTCAGCATCCGCATTGGCTTGGTGCTGCTCCTGAAGCCGTTGAGATACTTCGGTCCCCCGGACTTAATTTTCCCTGCCTCTTCCCGCTTGGTGGAGGAGTTACTGCAACCTCACACTACCTTGACCAGCTTGTGGAATGTCTCCTGAATCCCTCCACCTTTAAATTTGCTTTTTAAAGGGAATACGTGGTAGAAAATGCATTCACAACTGAGTAGGCAGTGTGATCGTCTCCTCATTCTTGACCCCATTTTCTGATGTTTTTCCTTTCTTTCTTTCGTTTTGTTTTGATTCTGTTTTTGGTACCAGAGATGGAATCCAGAGTCACTTAACCACTGAGCCATTATTCCCAGACCATTTAAAGAAATTTTATTTACCGACAAGATCTCCCTGGGTTGCTTGGGACCTCGCTAAGTTACTGAGGCTGCCTTTGAATTTACAATCTTTTTTTTTTAAAAAAAATATTTATTTATTTTTTCTTACTTCTCGGCGGACACAACATCTTTGTTGGTATGTGGTGCTGAGGATCGAACCCAGGCCGCACGCATGCCAGCCAAGCGCTCTACCGCTTGAGCCACATCCCCAGCCCTGAATTTACAATCTTTCTGCCTCAGCCTCCGGAGCGTTGGGATTACAGGTGTGTGCCACCACGCCTGGCTTTCTGATATATTTCTAGAAGCCACCAAAGTTGCCAGCTTCTGGCTCCAGTTGGTCCAGGAATGCTGGCCCTTAGTTTACTTAGGGGCCACGTCCTGTGGTGGGATGAACCCCAATTCGGTCACTTTCTCTTTCTACTAAGTTAGGGACTATTTCCCAGATTCTTTTGCTGTTGGGCTGCCCACATGACTGAGCCTGGCCAGTGAGGTGTGGATGTGCTAGGCCCAGCCCTGAATGACCTCTCCTTGTCAGGGGGCCCTGGGAGAGCCAAGGAGTACGGATTTTTGCAATAGGGAATGGTCACAAATTTACAGTCAAGACAGAATACTTTCGAAAGGGAGTGGGTGCTAACTGTATGGGATGCAGAGACAATAAGCATAAATCAGTACTGACAGCCAAGTCATGTGGTAGTCCTGTTCAACCACTGCTGAAGGCCACCCATGAGCACCTCATTGGACCCTGCCCTCCTTTTTCCAGGTCAGACCACTGAGCTCACTAAAACTGTTAGTAAGGTCCATCCTTACTGATGGACCTTAAATGTTTTTTTCTCCCCAGTTGTTTGCTATTATAAACAATGCTACAAGATGCCAAGGACTATTTTTTTTTTTAGCATACTTGTGGACATATCTTTGGGAAAATTTCTTAGAAATGAATTGACTATGGTAAAGGTTATGCTTTTTTAAAATAAATACTGCATATGTATGGCTAAATTACCCTTTCAGTTAATTGTACTGATTTATACCCCTACGAATAAATGTGTAAGAGTTAATTTCCCTGCAAATTAAAACTACACTGAGATTTTATCTTACTCCAGTCAAAATGGCAACAATTAAGAATACAGGCAATATAGATGTTGGAGAGGATGTGGGGAAAAGGATACACTCATACATTGCTTGTGGGAACTGCAAATTAGTGCAGCTACTCTGGAAAGCAATATGGTGATTCCTCAAAAAACTAGGAATGGAACCATCATTTGACTGGGTTATTTCCCTTGGTACACATCCAACAGTGTTAAAATCAGCATACCAAAGTGATGCAGCTACATCAATGTATATAGCAGCTCAACTCACAATAGCTAAGCTATGGAACCAAAGGAGGTGCCCTTCAGCAGATGAATAAAAAAATGTACAATAAAGAAAATATACACGGGCTGGGGATGTGGCTCAAGTGGTAGGCCACATCCCCAGCCCTGACATGGTGTTTTAATCAGCTTTCTTGCTGTTGCAACTAAAAGTACCCAACCACAACAATTGTAGAGGGGAGGAAAAGTTTATTTGAAAGCTCATGGTTTCAGAGATCTTAGTCCAAAAGACTGGCTGCATTCCTCGGGCTTGAGGCAAGGCTGAACATCATGGCAGGAGAGTGGTGTGGCAGACTGTCCTCAAGCAGGGCAATTCTCTGGAATGTCTATAGTAGAATGGAGCTGCAGTTGCCAAGTTGGTAGCCCACATTGACCTTCTTCCTTTCCCTTTCTTGCTTCTCTATTCCTCTACTGGTGTTTCCTGGGGTTACCTCCCAAATAAACTGATTGCATCTACATCCTTTCTCAGAATTTGTTTGGAGAGGAATTTGAGTCAAGACACCCATTGCTCATAGGTCATTTTGCTAATACCAAATAAAATATCTTAGTTGCCTTTCTGATTTCTTCCTCTGATTCCCTGAAATCCACAAGCACAAATTACTCCCTTTCCAGCCAAATGCGTTCTTTTGAACTCTCAGAAAAGTCAGATCTTCTCTGCTCATGAATTTTCATTTTTCCAACATCTGGTTCATACATGAAAGAATGGGAGTGAAACCTCACTTTTGCCCATGGGAACTTTGTATTTATTATTCATACCTGACACATTGGCCATTGTGTGGTCTCTTTTGGTTTCCTGATGGATCATTTGACCAGGATCACCTTGCATCATAGTAACAATCTGTGGTCAAGATGGTAATGAAGGTATATCACAGATGAGTAATGTTCTGGATGATTCATTAAATATATGAGTAGGGAGAGACTAATGTAAATGAATTGTCCTATTGATTTACTTTCCTCCTATCTATAGGCCTTTAGCATTTTATCATTAAGTATGATTTTACCCTCTTTTAGCATTTTATCATTAAGTATGATTTTACCCTCTTTTAGCATTTTATCATTAAGTATGATTTTACCCTTTATCAGATAAAAACTTTGCTTAAAATTAAGGAGTTTAAAAATCATTAATGAATATTGAATTTTATTTTGTGCATTTACCCTGTTGAGATAATCAAGGCTTTTCCATTAATTTGTTAATGTGGTAGAATTGTATTATTATTATTCTGATGATAATGATGATGATGTAYTGAAGATTGAACCCAGGGGTACTCAAATACTGAGCTACATTCCCAGTCCTAAATTTTATTTTTATTTTGAGAGATGGTCTTGCTGATTTGCCCAAGCTGTCCTCGATCTTGTGATGCTCCTGCCTTAGCCTCCCTAGTAGCTGGCATTACTGGTATGTGCCATTAAACCTGGTTTAGCAAATTAAATTCTTTTATTTWATTTAATTTATTTATTTATTTATTTAGTTCTCGGCGGACACAACATCTTTGTTGGTATGTGGTGCTGAGGATCGAACCCGGGCCGCACGCACGCCAGGCGAGCGCGCTACCGCTTGAGCCACATCCCCAGCCCTAAATTCTTTTTTTTTCAAATCAAAGAAAAAATATTTACTTGCATCAATGATACACATATTCTCTCTTTATATAAGCATTATATGAGGAATCCAGGGAAGGAAGATTTGAGATATGGCAAACATGGTGGCTTCAAGTGAAACATGAAGTCTGGTCCATTTGGAGTCAAAATAAGAGAAGTGAGAGGAATCCCAGGCCGCAGAGATACTTGAGTCAAGAGAGAACATATATTCTGAAGACACTGCACAGAGAAGTGTGTTAGGCAGAGAATGAGGAATAGTGAGAGCTGAGGACTGCAAGGTAGATCTTGGAGGGCCAGTCAGTTGGTTATAATTATGACATTGGGGCCCAGAGGTCTCCAAGGCCACACACCTGGTGAGCAACACTCTCTCTGCTGTTCTTAAGATTCTTTGGCAGTGCCCCCAGGGAAGAACTGTGTTCTTAGCTGTAGGGCCAGGAGATAGTTTAATACTACACCAGCTCCTTCCTGGTGTCAGTTGGTTAGGGTGATCAACTGGGTTTCAGTGAGAAGGATGCTCCCACCTCCTATATTGGGAATCTCAGCAATCTCTTCTACTGAAGGAAGGAACCATAAGAAAGCAGGACTTCTCACCACAGATGAAATCGGGACCAAAGAGGAAAGAGTCTTTTTCAAACATCATTAGAAGCCACCAATCTGCAATGGGTTTCACATATCCTTTGAAACCAATTGAGTTGAGAGATGTAAATACAGCAGTTTTCATTTCTTGAATTTCAAGTGAATGATGACTGAGTAGGCAAATCAACTTCCAGGTAAAATCTATTTTACATTTGATGCAAGAACATTTTTATAGCATTCTCATGGGTCAAATTTCAGTGTTTGAATAGGAAGCATTCATGGTACAAGGATATCAATTCCTTTCCAGGTATTCTATTTTTAGACTGATCTTTTTTTCAAGTTCTCTCTTTATTGAGTCACAACTGTCCTCTCATAAATTTCAGCACTTGTTCTGAGTTTGGTCTTTTGAAAAAAACAAAGAAAATCTACCAATTTTCATATGAGTAAATTAAATTCTAATGCTGAATCATTCCTGCATTCCTAATACAAGGCATTTTTCTTAAAAAATTAAATTTATTTTAATTAGTTATACATGACAGTAGAATACATTTATGCACTTTGATATATCATACATAGATGGGATATAATTTCATTTTTCGGAGTGTACAAGTTGCAAAATCATATTGGTCATATAGGCACATATATACATACAGTAATAATCTCTGTTTTATTCTACTATCTTTTCTTTCCCTACATTCCCTCCCCTTCCCTCCTATCACTTCCCTCTATCTAACGTAAGGTAACACTATTCTTACCTAGTACCCCCCATCTTATTGTGAATTAGCATCTACATATTAGAGAAAACATTTGGCCTTTGGTTTTGTGGGATTGGCTTATTTTGCTTAGCATGATGTTCTCCAACTCCAACCATTTTCTGGCAAATATCATAATTTCACTCTTCTTTAAAGCTGAATAATATTCCATTGAATATATATA